TCCAGACTCCATATGCCACTGCCCAGAGGCATTTTTGGGGAAAAAAATTTTAAAAAATAAACTGTTGGGCTACTGTGTATAGGGTACAGATAACATGTGATGCTAGAGGCATTTTATCAAGACAATTTTTATGGTCAAAGGTACAAACATTTTTTTTTCCAGGCCTGTTGAAAGGCATTTTTACTGTCTATATTGACATTTCTGGGCATTAAAATTAATGGTAAGACACATTTTGGCAGTGCTAAACAAGTGAAAAATTTGTTATTTAACACTATATAGCCAAGCCGTATTCAGGGAACACCCCTATTAATAGTATTTAAAAGGGCACTTTCATTTGTCATGAAAGTGTCCCACTAATAGGGGTTATACTTTAGACATTTATTTCTCAATAGTTCAATGTCAGCACTTAATTTGTTTTTAATCTTGCCCATAAAGCTATTATTAGCATCTAGGGCACTAAAAATTGTCATCTAAATACATATGACAGTAGATATAAATACTGAGTTTTATCTATAGTTCAATATGCACACAGTATTGGTAATTTTGTCCACTAACGAAGCTATTAATCAGAATCCAGCCTGCTAATGAACTTTTCATCTATCCACAAAGTAGATATGAAGTGCTATCTATTATTATACAATGAACAAAAAGATAACAGCATCCATTGTGTCCCATCACTCTAACAATAGCATAATTCAAAACATTTTCAGTTATTGCAGATTATTTCACCTTCATAAAGAAGTTTAAAAGTATATCTGACATTAATAACAATAACTGAAGTGTGCATCATCACATCAAAAATAAAATTTGTATTATTATTCAGAAAGTTCAAATAAAGTTTATGTATACTACAGTAGCTTTATATTTAAACACTAACAGCTGTTTATTACCCTATGATAGAAATAATATTTATTAGTGGGAGAACTATCTTTTGAAAACTTGACTGTGTTACATCACATACACAAATATACAATACTGTCATATAAAATGTAACTTGTAAGTACCTAGTTAAAAATTAACAAATTATACAGTTTGTCTTGCAATTCGAGACCACTTCTGGGACCTGAAAATTAAATTATACATAGAGAAATAATGGATGCTGTAATATTGCATAATATCCAAAGGACATGCACAAAATTCATGCATTTATAAAATGTTATCTACTAATTTGAAAATGATATGAAAATATGATCTAGTAGCAGACAGTTTGACAATCTGTACAATTGATTAAACACGACCACATGGACTGATGAAATATCTGGCCAGGTCTCTCATGATCAATGCAAACAATTGGATCATATCATTATTTGCATGGGTGAACATTTTACTGCACAGGCATGATATACAGTAGTTATGGTGGGCAGGGCCACCCATCCTTGGGGTTTTCCACCCAGTTTAAAGCTAACCTTATGGCCCTCCGTAAACCTCTATTAATCCCCATATCTCCTCCTTAAAATCCACTATTATTATTTAGAGTTTAACAATGTTATCATTCACCCACCCTTAGTTTTCTACAGTTATTATTTATTTATTTTTTTTTATTGGTAATTTATTTTTTTCCAATTCTCAACTAACGCCTAAAATGACATGCTCAAAGATAATAGATATAAAAATATTTTATTTTTTGCATTTGCCCGAGAGGCGTGGGGAGATTTCACAACCTTACGAAAACGATAACCAATACGAATACGACATCTTCATTATTGTATGTATATTCTTAAAAAAAGCTGTGTAGGATCATTTAAAACTCATGGATTGCCGATGTTGTGATAGATAATTTACTGTATTGGAAAAATTGACTAAACTGTACTTCTCATCGTAAGCTTGCAAAACTTCTTTAATGTTCTGCTTCTTGAGCTGAAAAACCTGGTTTTAACTTAGCTGATTGCTCAGCTCCTTACATAAGCCCCATATAAGAGTTATGTGGCATGAGGTACACTTTATCTGTACTGGTGCACTGCTGTGGCTGACGTGGGTCCAAACAAATACGACAAACAAGAAGAAAAAAAATTGGCTGTTTTTAAACACAGTAGTGAATCACTTTGAAAAATGTTTCAGCACTGAAAGTGTACACAGTAAATAAAATGTCAACTTAACTTGATAAGCATGCCAGCTACTTTACTTTTTCTGTTGAGATATTCATTGCATTGCATTGAAAAAAAAACAACTACAGTATGGCATAAACATTGTTCAGGTAAAAAAATATTCATTAATGAAACCACAGTAAACAATGAGAATGAAACTTACAGTGAAGCGGACTCTTGGTTTTCAATCAAATTCAACTCACTGGTAAGAAACTGTCGATCAAGTCTGGGTTGAGGTTGACCTGATTCTAGTGTGAAAAATAGTATAAAATAATTGTTTTTCTCTTCCTTATTCAGGTTTTGTATCAATAAAAAAACAAAAAAACAAGTTAATATTACTTATAAGATGCACTATTTTTATAATATTTGAACAGACCCACAAGCAATGATTGGGGCAGCATATAACTTGATGATTGATTGATTGACTGATTGAAATAACATACACTTTAGTACAAATGCTGCATCCAAATTGTATTTTCTGCATAATCACAAAAACCAGTAACAACATTGCAGAATTATGTACAATACAATATACAATATAAGTAATACTTGAATGGAAAAAAAAATTCTGGTCATTCAAAGGTTTTGACTAAATGAGTGAAGCAGTGCCAATAAATTTATAATGGTGATACATCTAGACCTTTTAACCTTCTAAATTAGAATTTTTTAATAACAAGGAAATTATTAATTAGGACTGGAGTAGACCTAATAGGTACCTTTACTATTGTGATTGGCACTAGTAATAAATATACATTTAGGTAGTGGTGAACAGAATAATGCAGTACAATATAGATACAGCATAAGGCTTAATCTCTAATTTTTAAATTATGTTTTTTTATGGTCGATTTGATATTTTTAGTTTTATGTTTTTATCATTTATTTGTTGGGATTTATATTTTGCCAAGGGTTGGTTTTTTATATGTTTTCTTACTATACAGCGTACATATTTCTTTATGCAATTTTTATTATTAATTTTTGTGGTGTTTTGTATATACTTTTTGTAACCGTGCCACTTCAGTTTTTAACTGCTGGCCATGGATGAATGTATATTGAAATAAACAAACAAACAAACAAACATATAAATAATAATTACACTGTCTGTATTGAGCTGAAAAAAGTACTTCAAGTTGTTTACTTGTTATTTGGGGTTAACTTAATGCCAACTGAAAAAATAACTTGTCCTCAATCACTTAATTTATTAAAAAATATTTAATCATCAGAATCATTCTCAGTCACTGAAATATACTGACTAACTATTGGTAATTTTCATATTCCTGTGCTTCAGCCTCTGTACTATCAAGTTTTGTATTATACACTTTGAACTTGGACTTAACAATTGGACAGCCAAACAATAGAGGGCCTCCCCCTGATTTTTAATTAGACTTACCACAGACAGTACGTACCTTTAGGTTAGGTAATGGCATTGGCATGGAATAATTTTTCCGAATCTAAAAATTCAATAAGTTTTTTTTTTTTTTTTTGGTGGGGGGGGAATACTGTTTTTAATGATGATGTTTGATCTGCATTTGACAGATATTTGATAGTTATGTATTATTTTATTATCTTATATGTTTCAAATTTAATTTCTCTTAATATATTTTTATACTGCTTTGTATATATGTATGTGTGTGTATACTATATGCATGTATAGGGCCTATTATGTGCATTATATGTGTAGGAGGGGTGAGGGGTGTTTATGATTTATTTTTAACTCAAAATTGTATTTTTCTTTATAGTTCCTTCATATGTCTAGCTTTTAGTTGTTGTTTTCCTCATTCATTAGCTAAGATTGACTGCGCTTGTGTGCTGCCACTGATATAAAAGTGTATGTCAAATAAATATTAAAATTAAATTGACAAACCTACTGAGTAACATTTTTGTGTCTACTGCCCTCGCCCTTGTATAATGAGGCACAAAGATTGAAATGTCATATTTATATTCTTGACTCTGTAATCCAGTTAATTTGGGCTGTTACAGCAGCTAGGCCTAGCTTATCTTATTTTTGTTTGTTACGCACCACTGACTTAGGCTGTTTGTCATCACTTCAAGATGTCTACCGATTCGTGGAAAAGGCGTATTAAAATCCAAATATTGGGCGTTTGTGAGCAATACATTTTAATTTTATATAGGTAAGTAGTAAGTATATGAATAATTTTAATGCACTAGTTAGTTGATAACTTCATTCTAATTTGTTTTGGGTCTTTTTTCTGCATTTTTATAAGCGGTTAGACATGGCCTAGGGCGGGTCTAGGCTAGCCTAATCACATCAATTTAAAATCAAATTTGTATACATACTTGCCTTATATCTTAACTTGCAGGTAATTTTATTGGTAGACTAGTTTGTTTTTAAGTGTGTAAGTATGATTGATTTGCATGCCAAGTGAAATTAGTACCCTTATTTTGCTTTGTTTTACCATACCGTAATTCTCGGCTAGGCCTAGCTGTACGCCTAGCCGATACGCAGTGTGGCCATGGTGTGGTGTTTTGTTTTTCTGAGCATGTGCAGATTGTGCTTATCTGGCTCATTTGCATAACAATACCGCACATAAGGCTAATTCAAGTTAGATGGCTTAAACCAGCCAGCTTCCTATCCTGGTAACAGTTAAAAGTCCTTGATTTGGGTGCAGATAATTCCAAAAGGGCATGCAAAGTCCCACTTTGAACATGACTCACATGTGGTGCTAGTAAGGCTAATTCATGCAGGAACTAATTCAGCAATTTAATAAAGTTGCAGCCGATACCACTAACTTTTAGCATAAGTTTGTGCGAGAATATACAACCGCATTTGACAATAGATTTACAATTAGTTTTAAATGCTGTGAACCTTCTTTGAATTGACCTTCTACTATTAGCAATTGACCAATCATTACGTGTTAAAATCCAATAGACGGGGCTGGGAATACACATACTCTTATAACCCACATCTAACTCCATGGACGACTGATGTTCCCAAGGCAGGGTTTGCAGAACCACTCATTATAACATAGAATCTAAAAGACATTATGTGAAATTATAACATCTATCCTTACCAGCTGTTAGAACTGATGATGTATATTTGTAACTGTTGTACTCAAGATACTCTAAAATAAGCTCATTTATCAACATATTTTCGTTGCTCATTGGAGGACGTGGTTCATCGGTGTCGTTGAGGGCATGAAAAACCTCGGCACGGACTCTAGCTTTGATTTGATCTAAAGTACCTCTATTTTCCAATGTCTCCTTTAGAACTGGATAGAGAGAAAGAAATTAAATTTCTGATTTAATATCAAAATGAAATGTAGAGTCTATCCAAAGCATGCATATAGGCCTAGATTGTAGTAGTAGGCCTAGTAGTAAATAAATTAAAAGCTGATTGTGTTTGTTAGAAAAATTTCAAAAAGGTTGATCACTATAATAACCTTACTTGAGGCAACCAACTGACTGCTTTTCATAAACTGACAGACAGTATTCACCTGGCCTAGGCCTACATATAATTTTTTTAAGTATGGGAATAGGGGCCTATAGTCTAGGCTATGTGTAGGCCTAGCTAGCTAGACTAAGTCTAAATACTTAATAGGCAGGTTCTCTAGCCTAGCCTAGTAGTAGGCCAATAGGCATCTAGTTCTTCTAATAAGGGCCTAGTTAGGGCAAGTCTTTGACTGATGACTGTGCCTAAGCCTAAGTAGTCTTGTAGGTAGGCCTAACTAAGGCTACGCGGGGGCCTAAAAAAAGGCCCGAGGCTTAGCTAGCCTCCTCCTGTCCTAGCCCTAGCGTAGGCTAGGCAAGAGGCTAAGGACAAGGTAGGGCCAGGCCTAGGCGTTAGTTTATCACAAAATTATTGTTTTGTTACCAGATTTAAGGTCCTGAATTGCTGCCATTTCCAACAAAAGTAAATAAATATTGCACTTTGGTCAACTACGAGGCAAACCTAGACTGGTGCTAGTAGTAACACTAGAAATAAAATTGAACTTCGCGCCTCTATATTAGCGAAGTACCGCGACACGCGAAAGATGGCTGCACCGTACGTAATGAATATTTATAACCTAAAATTTTGTCCGGTGGTAAACGCCACCCGGACAAATATTGTTTACTGATTCATCTCTTTTCGGGTCTCTTTTACATTTTACAGACTGTGCGTACTTTTTATTTTATTTTATTTTATTAAAATATCTTTTTTTTTTCAAGTTTGAATTTAAATAATGTACCTATCAGCCTTTGTGGGAGTAGAGGAAATGACTGCACCATTTTCTAAAAATAGAATGACATCATCAAGGTAAACAAATAATAAAGAACTAAATATCCCACGCACACCATTCCATAATTTTTCACAGCACTCCCACAGCATAGCAGAGCTGCTGCTAGTACAGTATAGCACAAAAAGCACAGAGTAAAACAGTAAGTTACAATCGATCAAGAAAATAATGTTGAATAATATCTCTTTGATTTAGATAACTTAAATTCTTAACGTGTAATTTAGAAATATGTGTAAAAAACAGTGGGCCTAGGCCGCTAGGCCTATCTACTAACCAAACCCAACTAACGCTGTGGTGCGAAAGCTTTGTGTCCGCAGGCAGGATTGACCTGACGGTTGTGAGATAAGATAGCATCATACTCCAAGTTGTGGGCTAAGTAATGGTAGTTTTTTAAACGGCGCCTAGGCTACTCTGTCAGTGCTGTCAGTTGCTTGGCGGGGGTGGGGCCGATTTGATAAGTGGGCGTAGTCAGGGTTTTCATTTACATTTTTTTTTTTTAAATTTTAATTTCATTTATTGCACATCCAATTACCAATTACAGGATGGAAATATAAAATATACAGTATAAACTTACACAATATTAGTAACAAAACAATAAAGATTATTTAAATTGATTATTTGATTGACAAAGGCCTAAAATACATCATAAATAATACATTCTACTGTATATTGATTCATTCTCATTACAGGTCACATAGATATGGAAGGTGTCCCCTGTTTAAGCGAAAGGTATAAGGCAGCCATGGTGCTCAGTGGCGTCGGCGATGCTGTTGGCTACAGAAGTGGATCCTGGGAGTTTAACTTCAGGGGTGTTGACATTTATGAGGAATTGCAAAGTCTTGGTGGTCTAACCAAGCTTGATATCAATAGTAAGTCATTCAGTCAGTAAACATCTTATAAAATGTGAAGAGAATCAGTTATGCAGGTACACATAGGGTTGGAGGAACATGTTTGCACCCCGTGATCCTACACATCTAGATAAGCGAAAAAAAAAAAGCTCAAGTAGCTAAATTATCACCTCACCTTATTTTTCCAGCTGTCCTTAATCATCAAAAAAGCCTTACGATATTTATAGTGGAAGGAACCGTTATGATAGTAGCTCATAGAGTGAATACAACAGACATTAAAAAAGCCACAATGGGTTACTCTTTAGTACCCCATGTACTCAACCATGTGTTCAGGTGCTTATGCAAAACATTTTGAAGGAAATGCCCTCGCAATGATAAAATCAGAAACAATACAAAAGACTGGAAATAGAAAAGCCAACTTTAATAACAAAGACATTCATTGCAATAATAAACTGTACTAATAAGCTCATTTATTTAACTATTTTTCTAATCAATAAAATATTGAATTTTAAAAAAAAAGCTTAGTCACTTTGACTCCATATTTGATGTTTTAGCATATATGACCACAAAACAGCTGTAAACTCACATCAACAGGTTCTGAGAAAAAGGGCCAAATAGACTGTATTTATAACATGTAGTTTGAGCAAAATGCGATTATGTCATAACCTTTAGTATTACATTTAATTTTACTGTTTTTTAAGTTTGGTTTCAATATTTCAACTCTAAACCCTCAAAATTTAGTAATTTTATGAAGGCCATTCTACGAGAAATGTATATAAATTCACCAACTTTCAAACTGCCATACTTCGCTTCCAAACAACTCATTCACCTACACAAAACTCAGACCCCCAACTAGATAAATGAAAACTTTCGGATAATAATACGTTTATTAGTACTCGTATGCTATGTATGTGATTTCAAAATAAACAAACAGTATAGTTATAAAATAGTAGAATGTTCACAGAGCCAGATTAGACCTACTCCACTCTTCCCAGTCAGGAACATCAGACCTGATACCCTTGACTCTGGCGGCACCACTGGGTATACAGTAATAGTATTGCTCTTTTTTTAGGTGGGGGAAAGGCGCTTATTTAAACAACCATTAAATTTAACATTTGGTATAATTTAGCATAATTTCCCATCAGACCTTGCAGGCCCGTAGCCAGGGGAGTTTTTATGGTTCGGGCGAACCCCCCTTTTCTAGCGAACCCCCCTGTTTTCTGGCGAACCCTCTCGAATTTTTGAATGAGTCCCACTCAGACGAATGTTTTTAACTTACCCAGTATTAAATCAAAAATTTAGCACCTAATTTATTATTTGGTCACCCGTTTTTAAATTGTAGCCTACAATACAAGCCTACATTCATAGAATATATCAGCTTCAGAAGTTTGGAGATTTAAATCTCCGGCAAACCATGACTTTACGATAGCTCACATAAGGATCATGGCAAACATCGATAAAAACTTTCACTGGCCTTTGGCTGAATGTTTGTAAGAAATGTACCAACCGGTAACGAAACCTCTGCTCTCTGCCTGAATAGTGATCGTAACTGAAAAAATAATGATGCAGCAACACGCTTGGTCAACTTGTAAAAATTTAGAGCCTTCTGTTGTTTGCCCACAAAACAAATTTTGGAGTGTTATACAGTACGATTTCAAAACATTGTCATCGTAAAGAAACAGCTATAATATTGAAAACAAACAACTTGAAACAAAATCGGTGTACGGATTTA